AAACATCAGTTCTAAGAGAGGTTTCAGTCGATCATAGTGAAATTCCCAGGGAAAGACCTGACCATTCTGATGGGAGACTTAATCATCAAAGTTGAAATGGACAACGACGGATACGAAGATATCATGAAACGACATGGACTGATTGAGGGAAAAGAATGAAAATGGTAACAGATTTGCAAATTTATGTGCGCTCAACAAAATGGTTATAGGTGGCACAATATCCCCCCCACAAACGCATACACGAAGCTAAATGTGTCTCAACGCATTACACTACAGAGAATTTGATCAATCATATATGCATCAGTAAAAAATTCAGAAGGTCAATGTAAGACGCGAGAACCAAAAGAGCAACAGCAAAGAAGTCCCATGTCCCATTCCGGGAGATTTGGGAGGAAGAACAAGTGTAAACAGATTGAAAAAAAACGGATACATCACCAAATTACAGAAGAAAATAGATCTGAGGAAACGTGAGAACTACACACATAACACTTCTATCAGTAATACGAAAAGTTTTAAACATTGATGAACCAGAGTTGAACTAATGACGACACTCAGTCATGTAGTCTATCGGTGGATATTATTTAATTAAACACATTTTTACGAATGAGGGACCAAAATATACATGTGCTACACAAATCATTGAATTTGTGTGGGCTGGGATACTGCCCGAATACCCGAACCGAAACAGGTAGATTTCTTAAGGGGCCACTCCTCGACTCCTTAACCCAGAGGTCACATCCACGGTGTACTGAAGCAATGTCAGGAGATGCAGTTCCATAGTAGCCAGTGACAAACAATAGTTTCATACGACATTTGTTCTTTCAGGATCCTGAAGCCCAAGTGCACCATTGGTTTGGAATCACGGTTTTCCAACTCCCATAAGTGGATGCACAGTACCAACTAACCCGGTCTGAGCACCGGATATCCACTTTATGTCTCCTCAATTCCGCATACAAAATACCCGCCACGAGGAAGCAGTGACTGTAAGAGCGATTCGGGAGGGCAAACTCTACCCACCCTTTATATTAGGTAGCTGAAAGTGAATCACACCACTTTTCGCATCCCCCGGTTATTTCCACCCTTTTCTTTCCATCTTTTTTTATTTTCCAACACAGCATGTTGAATCAGTCTTTTACAGAAACTTCGGGTCTCCTGGTGGTCTGAGTTAGTATCTAATTTGGTAATAAGATAGAGGAGTGTGTCGAGCAACTCATACAGCTTGAGGACCTTATCAACCTCTCGTTTTCGGCATTGGTATTCCTCATTGATTAGGTTAAAGACAGGAAGTCCACCACCCTAGGTTGACTGACAGCTGACAAAATATTGATGGGGATCCCAAGGTCTCGTTGGGTACTGCCAACTTGTGCCACATGTGATGTGATCGGAACATTTTGATACCTGTCGAGTATACTATACAGGATTTCACCGTTTAGCAGTCTACGCACTTGAAATAGAATTCATGATTGGGGAAAGCTCTGAATTCTGACTTCGATTATGGGAGTCTACGAAGTACTACCAGCATACAACGGAGTCCCTAGGTGAGCAGTTCCGATCTCCGGCATGGAATAATGAATTAGGAGTGAATTGATTAATGAGATTGTGAAATTTTATGGATTGGGATTGTTGGGACACATGTTACACCTCAGTGACCGATTATTCCAATAGTAGTTGGTAAAAAGTTAAGAGTGAAAATAAGAAGACATGATATCAACTAACAAAGTTACTAACTGTTAGACCGAGGTGTGTTGAGAGACACAATCAGAGTTTGCATGATAGTCATAATTTATGGTTGGAAGCAATAATAGATGGTTTAAAAGCTTATATAACTAAATAGACGCGAACATAAGCAAAACATTATGCTATACGTTTCATTCCTCGAAGTAACTTACTCCCTATAATATTCTATTCTTAATTATTTAAAAATTCCCATATTTATCAAAATAAGGACCGTATATGGGTAGGGCGAATAATATTCTTTACAGTAAATTCTTATTAGGTTCTACAGTCACAAATCTAAATTCATGTCACAAAAGCGATAGGCAGGTTCAAGGCAAATAAACTTTTTCCTAAATTACAGCATAAGGAACTGGGATTGTTAGTAAAATGAAATAACCTTGTTAGTTTAAGTCACAAACTGGTTTCAGTGAGATCAAAATTGGAAACTAGGAGGGATTGGACAGTTCAGTGGTTTAGAGGGCGTTTTCACGTGAGGCCGACCCTATATTTGATCCTCCGTGGCAGGATTGTGCATGCACATTGTGTATGAGTCCCACAATAAGACGAAACAGCTGTTCAAAGTCTCAATGGTGGCTTAACTAAGATCAGTTCGTGGTTTGTTCTATGGAAATTCTACAATCTCTACAAAACCCCTACATAAAACATGTTAGCGTTGAAATGACTAGTCAGTCAATCAGTCACAATGTAGAACCTACACGTATGTACATCGGTTCAAGCTGCCATACCTCATTAGCACAGAGATGAAATTGTCAGACAAAATCCCAGAATAGTGGAGGTAATAACAGTCAGTCGTAGTATATTATGCATCGAAGATACGATTCGAGAGGAAAATATATATCAGTAAAATAAAAAGGTATGAAGGACTTTAGAACCTCAGAACTTGAAGGAAGACAAAGAACGGGTGCACCTGCACCACTGCAAACGATTTCGAGCAATTTCATTTAAAATCTCTAACCAGTGGTTATGATAGATAAGCGGACCCTTAACAGATAGTCTATGCCTATTAACATGGCTAAATCCAATTGTCAGTAACTTCATGGACTGATGTCATGTTGTAGTTTGGTCACTTCTAGCTTCCTTCCAGCCTACTTCAACACCAGAAAATAACCCCTATCGAGATAGGCAGTGGTTCAGCATACATAACACACGTCCCAACTACCTTGGTTGATGAAGATTTACTACCTCTAATTGATTTCTCATCATTACCTAATACCTTATTCCTAATACAAGCACTGCTTACTCTATGGTTCAAAAACACACGTACAATACTTTCAAGACACCTCTGATCTAATAATCGAATACCTGTAACCTACGAATATCCTCTATTCTTAATCACCATATTTCACATCCTCAAAGTAGAATGGAGCGAACCGCTGCACAGTAAACTCGTCCTTTGGTTGTTGCTGAACATGGTCAAAAGACTACATTCACCGAACACAACTACATCATCTGTGTATTCAAAGTCATTAAGTAAATCTACTCGTAAAACATCAACCTGTGTAAAGTTAGACGATGAAAGTGTTTGACATTCACTTCCAGAAGTGAATGCGAAGATAACCTTTCTTAACGATTGCGTTAAGATGAAAGTGTTATCTTTGAAAACATGTCTATGAAAAAGTTATATAAAAATGGGGAAAATGGACAACCCTAACGCACACCACTTAAAGTAGCCAGTTTCGATGACAGTTTGCCATAAGCTCTGACTCGACCAGTAGTGTTCGAGTAGAGAGCCTGTACAAGGTTAATGTACTTCTTTGGAACACCTGTCAATGACAGACTGCTGTATGTTTACCACATCACATATACTTTCGAAACCTTTCCAGCATCTGCTGGGATCATCGGGTAAGTAATGGTGAAGTTAGCCGCATGGTATTAGGGAATGATGGTGAATCAGTTGATGAGGTTGTGAATCCTCATCGACTGACATAGTTGGACCGTGTTACGCATGCCTTATTACCTGACCGATTGATTTTTTTCGCTGTACTCTTTTTATGTGCCCCCAAATGCCCTAGTACGGCCGAGAGTGAGGAGAGTCCGCTCTCCCTCTCGAAATACTCTCACATGGCCACGCGTATATAGCCTCTACCAGGGAAGTCCTACTCACTGCCTTCTCGTAGCGGGGGTGTTGTTTACGAAAATGAGAGGACGAAAATAGAAGGTCCGGCGCTACAACTAAATCCCAAACCAATGGTGCACATGAGCTCCAGTATCCTGCAGGAACAAATGGCGTATGAACCAATTGTTGGTCACCGGCTACCATGGGACTGCATCTCCTTACGATGCTCCACTGCCTTGTGGATCAGACCCTCAGGTCGAAGGCTCGGGGAATGGCCTTCTAAGAAAACCACCTGCTTCGGTTTGGGCACCCGGGCATTATCACAGCCCTCACACATATCGAATGAGATTTGTGTAGCGCATATGTATTTGGTGCCTCCTTTTACCAATATCTATGCGTTAAAATAAAATAAAATAACTGTTTTTATGTAGCCTTTTACAGCATTGTGGAGCATCATATTTTCAATATACAAACAAACTGAAATAACTTGGTGTGTTACAAGCACACATTTGCACAGAGCATGAAACAATTAGCGTACCGACCATAACTGAATCCCAACCAGGGCCAAAAAACTAAACATTTTCTTTTCTATATTCTTGAAAATAACAAGCTAGGTTGTTCTATATTTACATTGGTCGTATCATAGCAGTATATTCATTGAAAGGCAGGCATGCAGTTGTCAGAGAGTTCCATCTGACTTATTTGCGGCACACAAACATAGAGATCAAACTATAGGCTGACATAAATCAGTAGAGTTTATATATATAGCTAATTGAACAAAACTTACACATCACCCTCATATTTAAAACCAATTCGTGATAATTGAAAGTTTCAGGCTTACTTCATCTTATTTTCGTATTACTTACCGAATAGAAATTAGATTCTTGTAAGTAAATACGTTACGGCTTCAATATAAACACCAGCAATACACTATATGGTGTGTTTAACTTTACAGATAATAAAGATTTAAGACAGTTTCTATTCATGAAACACACAACAATACTAATGTGATGACTTCTAAACGCCGGAAAATTACCTTAATATATTAAAGTCGAGACCAAACGCTTTGCGAATAACAAGCGATATAAAGGAAACAAGCCATATGCTTTGTTAAATAAGGGCAATACTGCCCTTATTTAACTTTATCTCTAACATGCGAGTGAAATTGAATGAACCGCAGGGTAAAAAAATAATCAGTGTTACAAACCTTATATATCCTGTCGATGAATTCACATGCCGTTTTGGCTTTCTCGAAACAAACACAGAAAGGAATGATAAATACTTCAACTATGGCTAGCACAAAAGCCATTGGCCAAGCCAAGAACCAGATGAGCAGCCACACAATAGACCAACACAATCCAGGACACCAACTGGTCTTATTCTAAACAAATTTGATGGATGAATAATGACCTACTGATGGCATCTTCATTAGGCGAGCTAGCAACGACCTTGATCGTAAGTCCGTAGTTCAAAAACGCTCAGTCTGGCAAAATTTTGAAAGTTTTAAGATCAGAGAACAAAAAGTTGAGGTTCGTGTTAACACTTCTTCCAATGGTCACAAGATGCTTTGCGTTTTGTTTGCTCAATTTAAAAATGAGCGTGCTTGGAAATGCGGCGACACTTGATCGTCTAGTTGGGGTGATCTTATCCGCAACGCAACCATGTAAACTTAATGTATCGCATACTGTCATTTGTGCGTTCAAGTAACTACATATTTGTCATTTCATAATGTATTCTCAATTAAATAACTAGATTATGCAGCTAATTTTGCTCTTTTTCAATTTTTATTCGCCACGTCTGACTGCGTTACACTGCACGTCCATTGCACGCTGGAATGATATCTCAAGTCATAGTGAGTTTATTCACATAGTTGATTGTTTCCAGATAGACTGTCAGTGCATGATTTTACTGAAGAAATGTTTGTTGTACTGTAAACTATGTTTTTATGAACAACTGCCTGTTGTTTTCAGTATCAAACAATATATATTTCCTTTGTCTTCTGTTCGGTAAGTTCAACTGGCCTATATAGGCCGGATATTAAATTGTTTATGTCTCTCATTGCACATGAGTTAAAGTTCCGCAGTCTTCGGCGTGCTAAATCTATCCCCAAATTAGCTAGTTTTTTGGTAACTCCAAGGTACACCATGTGCATAGTATCTAGAGGAAAAGTTACAATCATATTAATAGAAAGCGTTTCCATTATAGAATGTCCTTGATGGTGAATTGATTGAGTCTGACGACGGAAGGTGTCGTCTGTTCTTAAAGTATATACTCCATTTGGAAAGGTCGTTTTCCCCTCAACCCGTCTCCCAACTACAATACATCTATCGCAACCTGCCTTACCGTTGTGGTTAACCGTGTACCTAACAGAAGAACGAGCAGGTGCGTCACATATAACAGCCGCCAACCTAATAGCTATACGTTTATTAAACTTAGCACTAAAAAGACCCACGTCAGTCATTTCTTTTATTTCAGAAATTGTGTCCGCAGAAAAATCGTTGAATTCTGCCGGCTTACTATTCCCACCGTAGATCCCTATCAGAAACACGTCACTAAACCTAGGGGCAATGATACGTCCTAGCATAGGCCATAACTGTTGATTGGAGCTTCTAGACATAGAAAGTCCATCTACATTGAGATATAAATGTAAAGAGTCAAAATCAATAGTACGCAACCAAGGCTCAACGTATCTTTGCAGATTGGTTTTCAATCCTAGATGGTAATAAACCCCACTGCCGATAAACTTTGGTTGAACACTTGGACACGTCTTTAGGACACCTCTTATGTTTTTCGGTATGTCCGGGATAAGAAATCGTAAACCATACAAAACCCGATCAGCATCTCTTATGCTGAGAGATGTATTTGACACTAGATACATCATGAAGTCGTTCATCAGTTGTTTGCGATTTACGAAATTATGAGAGCACAAGTCCACTGCAGGAGATCCTATAAGATATATATTCGCGTGTGAATTTAATATACATACCACTGTTGTCTGCAAGCCTTTGGTTGATGTTGCTAGTGCTTGGTGTTACAGTTGAAGTACCGTCATTACAATTGATATCCGTCTTTACTTCTACCAATTTAATAAACAATACTGTTGAACTCAGTTACCTTTTAAAGTGCTTTCATTAGCAAACTCACTGAACGAAAGGAAGTCATATTTCTTCATTAAAGCAGCTCTCATTTTATTCCACCTCCTATTATAAGTGGTTCTGTGACAACCAAGGGAACCTGACAAGTTCACAATGGCCCTACGTCTACGAACATTCTCACTGACATCATAAAAAGTCATATTATTGACCTAAGAAGGTAATTAGTAACAATAAACCCTAAATCATGAGAGTACGTCACTCACCTGCATCACGTAAGTTTTTGGTGATGGCTCCAAGGCATGTCGGAACACTTCAGCTAAAAAACAAACGGAGTCACTGTGTATGCGTATCAACCGAATGCCTGTACGTTACGTAGAATTGTCGACAAATTTCCCCCCAATACACGACGTAAGGGGGAAAAAGCGACATTTCCCCTAAATAACCGACGTAAATGCGAAAAAGCGACATTTCCCCTTTATTTACCCTTTCGTCCGCTTTATTTCCCTTTTTTTTCCCTTTATTTCCCCTTTTGGTGTTGCTTGGGATATTTCGTGTTTTGGTTTTATCGTCTTAATTATATCCATTTAACTACTTTAAGCAACATGTCTGTGCAAATGAAACAATAACTATGACACTTGCTTAGTTTAGTATTCTTGGTTGTCACATAGTTCAGTTTGGTTGAAAGAATTATGGTATTCTTAGTAAAGTGCTTAAAGCCTGTAACGAAACAGATCAGTTTAGTAAGTAGAGTTGCCTGTTTCTAATGAATATACTGATTCAGATCAGTCTGATTAAAAATAGGAAAAAAGTGCTTTTGGTACTGTTGCTGTCATACATTATAAGATAGCGATAAGTATGTTTGGTGTTTATTTCTAGACTGTACATCTACCACTGACCATATTTCATGATCACTGTCATTAAACGATTTCCCCAGCAATTACATCGGTAGCAAGATAGCTAAGCGTCTGAGCTTTTAGTTGCCCGCAAAACAGCAGTAAACAGTCTTAGAAGATGAGTGTTCTGTGTCTCAATTAAATGCAGCTGGCTGTGGACGAATATTAAGAATCTTTTTGACAACTGGGACTTTTAGTTTATCAGATACTAACTCCGTTTGTATGTCTTCCTGTTAAACTAGACGCAGATGCATGGAAATACTTAAATGGGAGCAAAATAACAAAAGCATTGCGATACGGTACTAAGCCCATGTTATGCTTTGCATAAGTAATAGTAGCTGATCTTATCTAGTATTCATGAACTCAAGGTAACTCGCAACTGCATAAATTCTTTGCTGAAAAACATGTAATTTGTTTATTTATCTATTCCACATTTCTGACTAAATTCATCACTATTTTCTCAGTTAGAATGCAACAGGAATGAGCCTTCACAGATGTTAAGAACTGTTTCGCCCTTAGAACTATGGCCCTATGGAACTTTTTACGAGAGACCCAACTAACAGCAGATTATAAAAAGGATGCTGGACGTCCATTTTAGTCTCACAACCACTTCCAGTATTTCTTGATTTACTTCTTTTACTCTTTCGTTTGGAAAAAAACAACAAAAACTGCAGCTAAACATTACCAATACAACTTCTAAACGGAAACTTGGTTTAAACCTTTGTTTGATATTCCATTCTTAATGAACGTTCTTGAATAAATTTTTGAATCTAAGGCTACTTTATTTTATCTACTTAATCGTTGCAAGAAACTTGTGATAAGCGAGCCTCTCAGCACCTAGTTCATGTGTTCAAATGGTTGTGGACTGAGTAGATGCTTTCGCTCAACAGGCTTCTGTGTCTAGTAGCAGGCGATTACCAAAACCTCCAGGTAGGGACATAGGTATATTAACAATAAAAGAGGGGAAAGAAATTGGTAAATCATTTTATGGTTTTATCCTTAAGAATATATCCAGTTGCCTCTTAAAAGACTCCTGAGAAGTCGCATGGTCTAGCTCGGCGAGCAGCGAATTCCAGCACTTGACAACTCATAAGGAGTAGAAGTTGCGCCTACAGTCCGTTCTGCTATGCTGTGTCGCCAGTTTCTGGATGTTACCCCTTAGGTTAGTGTTGATACTAAGTTTAAGTAGGTGTTTAAGAGGATGTTCAGAAGTGTTAATGATACTGTAAGCCATTAGAAGGTCACCTCTAAGACGTCTATACTCTAATGGGTAGAGGTTAAGTGATTGGAGACGCTCTTCATAAGGTGATTTGGTGCATATCTTCGTCATTCTCTTGGGAAACCTACAGACTCGGGTCCTTTCACAACTTATTCTAGCCACCATGAGTTGCCACGGCCGCTGATGGATGCACACGCGTTATACATCTTAACCGTCTCTGCGTCTAATCTCATGACTCTACCGACACTAATGGAACACGAGTAACTCAAAGGCACCCTGTATGGTATCTTACATCGGTATACGCACTCACTTAGCTCTTTAGTGAGAATATTACTACAGTCCTGCTAAAAATCCCATAAACCCCCTATCTCTATAAAAAAAAGTATATATTTGCTGCATATAGCAATTTTATTTTTTAAAAGTAAGATACAACAGTTAGAATTGGAGTGAAATGGCAATATAAGGCAGATGCACGTGGTACATGTCTTCATCGATTAACTGAAATAAAAAATACGAATATTAGCTTAACAGGCTTATTTAGAAAGACTAGTGTCTACTCTGAATTTACTGCGTGAGAAAGTTATACTGAAACTACGAATAATGTAGAAATCTAGTCTCCCAGGGCGTACGAAGCAATCAAACTGGAAGGCAGTTGTCCGAAAAAATTCGAATATGAAGGTCAGAATTTCCAGGTATTTTTCATCGTAAGGGTGAAAATATTGATGTCATACATTAAAAAAACACAGATTTGCGAGTGGTGAAGTATGATCTATAAAAAAGTGGGCTTAATAACAGTTGATTACCTTTTTATTCCCTGATCATGACCCTTCGGCTTCCTTTTATGGCCGAAACAGCAAACATAAACTACACACTGATAGCAGATTTCCGGCTTTTCAATGTTAGTTTTCAGTCTTCAGTAATAAGGATAGTAGGTTGGTGAACCTGTATTAATCCTGACACATTGCTTTTCAGTGAAGGTCCAGCTTCTCCTTGAAAGTATCCACTGATGGGGCTGATACCACTTGTTCGGGTAAGGCTTGCTTTAACGCACTACGTAATAAGTACAATACCTCTATTACTGCTATATGACATATTTTTCATA